GGGACACGGACAGACACGGATGACGACACACGACGGGGACGACACAGGACACACACACACCATTGCCTGATTGCTGCAGAACTAAGTTGAAGTTTGTCAGAAATAAAGACATACAGCACAAGGCTCATTTAAGCAGTTTTTTTGCCACCATATGGTAAATTCACCATGGTAATTCGGGTAAAAGCATAAATGAAATTGTACAACAGGGCAAAGTAGTATTCTGCCATTAAGAAGGATGAGCACCAACTGAAAATAAAACATGGCCTCAAGTTTTATATACTCTTGCTATGCAAACTTAATATATGTATATTAACAAGCAGACACAGTGGATAAAGGACCTATTAGAAACTACAATGTGCTAGTATTTATCTCCTGCTTGTAGTGCAGCGCTGGGTCCAATGCTTTAAGAACAAGGTAGCAAGTCCTAGTCCAGACCATAATAGGAGAGTAATGGCTTCCTTAGTTCATCAGGTAACATCAAACAAATCCGTCCTTGGGAGAGGCATGAGAAGGAAGCAGGAAGGAAACAACAGTAGCAACAAGCCTGCTGCTAAGCTCACGTTTGCCCCCTACTCCTCTCCAAAGCAGGGCAATAAAGGGGCAACGGCTCCTCTGTCCCCCTCCCTAGCAGGGGGGCGAGAGCCTGCAACAACCGGGCCAAGTGAAATGGTTCTGCCACCGGGTGGAAGGCACAGGGGCAGCAAACTGACAGCAACCCATCGCCCCCAGCTGAGTCAAAGTTTGGAGTATTAAGCTATCTCAATATACTTCTTACTGTCTCCTTAAAGCCCTTGGAAGTTGACAGGAGAGAGTGGAGCTTGTCTCTCTTTTCCTCCTGTACTGCTAGAGCCAGGGTGAACTCGCTGTCCAGCATCAGCAGCTCACTGCCCTGCGACTGATGCCACCTCAAAGACACCCCAAGGAGTCACAGTTAGCAGAGGCGCTAAAGAGCTGCTTTCATTTTCAAAATTAAACTAGTTAAGCAGCCAGTAATTAATTTCTGAGAGTAATCATTAAATTTTAATACCACAGGATTAACACCATACTGTTTCTGCGCAACTACCAAGTGCTTGAGATAGTGGTTCTACTTTCTTCAGCATTTCTCCCCTTGTGACAGGCTTTACAGATCAACATTCTTTCCCACATCTGATCAAAAAAACAGACCCCACGGAGTGAGTGCGACATTAACCCCGGCTACCAGATGGGTACAGCTGTCACTTGCAACAGAGGGGCCATGACCCATCCTAGCTTAGGATTCCTTTTCTTTTACATTCTGTTTTCAGTTTTGCAACATTCTCCACTCATCTGAGATGCTTTTTCAAGGAGGGGTAAGGATATACCTACGTTCCACTCTTCAGGAAATGGTGAACCACTTGACTGAAAGAAATGCTTTATAAGCTATTTTATTTAAATATTTTCTCCAACCTGAAATGGAAAATGACTGTCTTTGCTTGGAAGAAGGCTGTGTAAACAATGATCTTTGCAGCACAGCGTGTCTCACATGGAAGATCGGTATCAAGGCGGCCCTTAGCGTACTTTCAAATATCCATTGGTATGTCCCCTTTGGATTGCTTTTCTCTGCTTTCAACCCAGGCCTTGTTGATGGTGCGCTTCATTTCATCATCCCCTTCTGCATACATCTTTTTTAAAAGGTTCATAAGCCCTTCACTAGGATCTGAGGTGTCGTAGGCAGCCTTCCTGCAAGATGGATACATACGAGATGATCAGGTATATCCAGCAATTCTGGGCAAAAAATTAAACGCTAATATTTGTTTGAAACATCCTGGTAACCGTGAGGATTTTGCTTTGGCAACGTCTTTAGACCCTGGCAGTGTTCAGTCACGCCTCAGTCAGCTTCCGAGTAGGGAGAATCCTAAAGAGTACGCTTAAACCAAGTGCAAGTTGAGTAGTGTACCTAGAGCTGTCCCACTAAGGATGATGGGAAGCATTTTGCAGTAAACATGACCCTGGAAGCACCACCCAAAATTAATTTTAGGAAGCAGGAGTGCAATATGACACACCCAGAAAGTGCCAACATCTGTCTGTGCCGTTATGCGAGAAGTGAATAAAAATGGAAAAATGACCACACTGAGCTCTTCGAAGTGACCACATTCACAACCCAAAAGGCATTTTCTGCCTCCCATTTTTTTAGATTATCTCCAGAAGTTAATTGACTCAGTTTTTTAAACACCTTGCATTTCAAAGCAATTTTTCTCAGCTTAAGCAGCCAGCTGACAAACAGTGCCACCCACATGGTAAGCACCTGGGTATGACATGCCCCAGACTACCAGACTACACATAATGCCCTCTCTGGCAAAATTGCCACTCTCTGTCCTGTTTTCTAAAATCCCTTAGATAGTTACTGGCTTCTGCAGGCTACCTGAAAAACACACAGATCAAAACAGATCAGCAGAGGGAGCAAGTTCCCCAAGCACGGGGCTAACCACCAGTCGCAGGGTACTGAGCACGAGGTGTATTTCTGAAGTCACTCATTTGTCATAGCGTGTATCCTCAACGCTTGGAGTAAGGCAGCAGTACTCATCGTGACAGGCTGGGCAGCGCGCAGCACTTCTCTGCGCAAGGTAACAGGTTTCACAAAGTGACCCTGTCCCTCCAGCAGTGTGCATTAGTAGTCAAGTCACCTTCTCCTAATCTCCAGTGATGCCATTTGAGAGAAGAAGGTATTTTTGCTCTAAATTCAGGTACGGTTAGCGAGGACCAATCGGTTTTAGCAAATCATCCTATCAACATACACAAAATCAATAGTTGTTGGCAGGCTTAACTTTCTCAAAAGTGAGTGTTTCCATGCTTCAAGGTAGGCATACACATTCTCTTCTGGAGAAGAATATGTATTGTAAGATAATATAAAATTATTATATAATAGATTTTTAAATATATATACATGTAAAAAGTCTCTTGTCCCCAGGTGCTTCCTGCTGTAATTTACGACCCTTATATATCCAGTGCCTAAGCTGCTTGTAGGATTCCTCCCAAGCATTTGAAGTGATACAAATGAGCTCGAGACTTTGTATAATGATCTAGGTAAACAAAGACCTGTTTTGCTAAATGGACGCTGGGATTTTTGTGCAGGCACTTCAGACACAGGTGACGAGCTAATTATTATTTCGACCAGCATAGCTGCAGGGAAAATATATATATGTATTTCTATATAATATACACTTAACCTAAAAAAAAAAGCCAGCCTCACTAGAGCAGTTTTTGCAATGAATGCAGCCATCAAAATACAAATGAATCTTTAATTGGTTGATTACCTTTAGCATTATCACTGCAGGTCTTATCTATCGTATTTCTTATGTTGCAGCATTCATCATGAGCAATAAAACAGTAGAGGAGTGGCAAACAGCTACTCAAAGTGTATCTCCTCCACTCCCTGTCCTACTAGTACCAAAGAAATCCCAACCTAATGATTCTCAAACACCTTAGTGGCTTGTCCCCCCCGAACAGCGCTTCTCAGAGTCTGACTGCACAGTCGGTACAGGACAGATCTGCTCTCCTGGCAGTCCTAAGGCAATTTGGAGAAGAAGAAATGGAAAACGAGGTGGAGGGTTGAAGAGACACTTACTCTTTCTCTTTGCTTTCTTTTTCCACTTGAGTGAGACATTCCCATTTTTCCTCCCGCTTCTTCCTGCACATCACAAGGACCGTGTCTGTCTTTATCTGTATGGTGAACAGCAAGGCATGAATTTAGAATGCTTCATAAAGGGGTGCTAGTCACAACCACAATGAATAAGGTTGGTTTATAACATAAACGTCTTTCTATACTCGCAAATTCCCAAAACATTCATCTCAGCTATTGATTATTATGTAGCATAGTGAAAGTACAGTATGGACTCAGCTTCAGGGTACAAAGTATTAACCCAGTTGTGGACAATTTAAATGGCGCGATTAATATACTACTAGTACAGTACTATACTACCAATACAGAAGAACATACAGTGCTGCAGAAACACCATTCAGTGATTCTCAGGATGCTAAAAGTATACTCAGGACTGTCGGGTAAAGGGTGGCTATATTTACTAGACTTCTCCAAAAATATCAAGTTCAGGTGGAGGCTCTCCCAATTTATTCCTCCAAGGATAAGAAACTAGTTTTAGGGCATTGCTTAATCTTGCAATATGTTTGCAAGTTACAAGCAAAGCCTGTTTAATTGCAACCCTGACCTAAATTTCACAAAGAACTCCTGTGTGCTGCAGCAGACAGGAGTCCGCTGGAGCTTTAGCTTAGCTTAGCAAGTACGTGACCACTGCTCACTTTTACAGTCTGTTAAAAATCACCAGAGCATCATCCTTGTTTATTTCAGTTGTTTTAATTTTACACTATCCTAGTTTTAGGGCAACTTCAAATTGAACCATCATTTCTTTACCTCTGATGTCACTAAGTGCAGCGCACAACTGCACAGAACACACACAAGGTATCTGACGCATCCCTGAGGCCGGAAAGCTGCTACTAGTAGCACAGTAAGGACACTATCGCCAGTTGCAGTCATCAGTAAAATGTTACTAGTGTTCAATTCTGGAGAAACACTCTCCTACAAAGGCAGAGCAGGTTTCAGACTTTGCTTTGAGTACTAAGCCTATTTAAGCTTCCCAAGATTTCAGTCTGCTGACAAGTCTCTTAGACCTTAAAATTGCCAAGAATTTCTCAGAGGTATTTAGAAGCACAAGGATGCAAATGGATGCTTAATGGAATTTTCTGCTTAATTATTTCTGAAATCCTGTTAGAGAGCTATGAAAAAAAAGCATAAAGTATCCAGACATGATCTTTTGAAATAGGAGCCCATGGATGCCAGAGAATAATTCCACAGTTATGACAATTACAGATTAATAAGAATCATGTTCACAGTGAAGAGACTTTACAGACAGAAGGGAGGGACTGAAGGTTAGCACCGAGTCTCTTGAACTAGAGTCAGGCAATGAACACGGTGCTTGATGAGGGACCTAAGTATCTCCAACAGCCGAGGCGCACTGACCTTTCTAGAGCTGCCTTCCACAGAGATGGGCTTCAGGAGATTGTTGAAGGTCATGGTGTAGTTCTTCCCATTCAGATTCTTCACTAGCAGATCGAATGACCTGGAACCAGGAATTGGGGGAAGAGGGGCACAAATACTCCAATCATTGTCAGACTATCGTGCCTTGCCACCAAAAACAATGTCTGAAAGCCCTTTAGCAGATGTACTTCTTTGGAAAGCATGTCAACAGGCTTGAATTACTTTCTTCCCAAGGCTCTCAAACCTTCAGTTGGCTTTAATACTGAGGGCTTAAAAGGACCTGTCCAGACCTCACAACAAATCAAGATCTCTAGGGTTCTTTCTACCTCACTGATCTCCTACAACCTTGGAAAGGCAGATTTACTTGATGTACACTTCAGTTCTATCACCATCAAAAAACAGGGCCAACATTACATATCTTGTCAAGCGTGATGTGAAGCAACAAGCATTTGTAAAATGGAAATACCCTGGTGCCCTCTAAGGAGAATTATACTTCAGGGCATGTGCTAAGCGCTACTAAAAGCTAATACCGCTCAAGTTTAAAAAAAAGAAAAAAGGCGGGGAGGGAGGGTAAGGGCTGACCCAGAACAGAACTCAACACAACACATTCCTGCATTTCAAATAGTGTTCTTCATCCATGCTCTCCCCTCTGGTGTGGTACAACAAGATGAACTCACCTCTCTGTGAAATTCACCTGCACATTCTCAGCTGGAAGCTTCTGGACTCCATTTAAAGAGATGTAAATCTTAATAAACTTATCTGACTGATCCCAACCTGCAAGTGAAAAAAAGAGATTAAGTTCTACCTTTCCTCCATAAACTTCATCCATTCCATTCCAACTCCCCCTGCAACATCCCTTAGTAGCAATGACTAGGATCTCTGCCCTATTGAAACAATCTTCACAGGGATAAAGGAAAGACCTGAATTATTCAAGAATAATTTGAGAGCAAAAGGAGGTCCTTACATGTAGCCCTGTTCCCTAATTCCTGCAAATTCTGAGAAAAGCCACGTATCAGCTCATGTAAAAGGAGAGCAACTCTGCCTGTGCAGAGGGAGTCAGAGGTAGCTGCCTGCTTTTGCTGCAGTTTCCTTGACCCACTTTCTCCCCTGCTCCCCGCATGCCAAGTATCTTGAGCAATCCCCTCTCCTTCCACCTACATGGCGAGCAGAGAAGCCAAAGCTTGCTCTTTCTAGATACTAGTTGGTACACCAGGGGTCATTAACGCCTCCCAGCAGTCCCATCACACAAAGAGAAGTAATGCACGCTGTGGCTGGGATGGCACAGTAAGCTCGTAGCAGGCTTCTCTATAATGCTAAGTGGCAACTGTAACTCACACTAATGCCACCCTGCCTTCTCTTCAGAGGCATGCTGGAGCTCTAGTAAGCATTCAGAAAAGTAATCCTACCATAATTGTTTATTTTCACGGTGTACCCTCCCAGTGACGACTTTTCTTCCTCTGCCACATCTTTTGGCTTCGGTGGAGGCTGATTTTTGATTTCGAGCTCTAGCTTGTGTTTCTCTGTCATCAGGACATCACGAAGACGCTTCCTCGTGGCCTTCGTAAGCAATTCTTTAACCTCTTCCAAATCTTTCTGCAGCTGGTTAAAAAATAAAAGATCACACGTCCATGTTAAATACAGGTCTTTTTACCCAAGGTTCACAGCTGAGCTCTTTCAGTTATGACACCTTCAAGTTTCTCAGAGGTAGCAGTTTCAGGTTTATCGAGTCGTAGTTTCCTCTCCCTCTACACCCCGTCAAGCACGAAGCCACCCATTCCTCACTCCCCGGCCACTCACGTTTTGCTTCTCGACCAGCGCACATTTCAAGGTTTAAGCTTTCACCAATTAAAAACCAATCGAAACCGCTAGAAGTCCGACAGCTGGAGCAGCTCCTCAAGAGCTGCGGGGTTACGCCGACGGCGCACCGCACCATCTCAGGGAGAGGCGCCGGCAGCGCTCAGCAAGCGCCCGGGCTGAAGGCTCCGCGCCGCCCCCCGGGCACGGCAGCTGCCCGGCCCCACGGCTCCTAATTGCGGCCACACCACGGCCTCTCTGGGCGCGGGTCGGGTCGGGT